TCAAAGAAAACTTTAAAATGTGAGTTCTGTTTGTAACAATAAATTTTATTGGCCTAGTTGCCTGGCTCACAAAAAAACACACATATCCCCACTACCAGAGGACAAGGAGAAGAATGCCAACCAACGAGAGGGAGGAGGAAGAGGATGAAAAGGAGGAGGAAGATGAAAGAGAAAGAAGAAGAAAAAGACGTTTTAGAAGTGAAGGAAGAGGGTAAGGAATGCGAGTATGATAAATCTAAATGCTGCGCCTGCTACAACCCAAGGAGGAAGGGAAGGAAGATTTAATTTTTTTTTATTATTAAAATAAAACTTACTCGTTCTTCAAAAGACTAGTTTTTTTGTCGTGCGTGGCCTACTACCTTCGAGGGTATAAGTAGCCTGGGCCTGGCTTCTTTGTTGGTTTGTTAACAAACACAGCACAAATTACCCACGGTACCCTCTAGCTGGTAAAAAAAACTGCCTGCCTTTCTCTTTCCCCTGCTGCTGTTATCAATTTGCTAATATTATGGACGAATTGACGAGATCGAGGGTATTACAGAAGATTTATCTCGATCTCGACAACGACAAAAAAAAGCCAGTTTCAACATGGACATGGACTACAAGCCCTGAATCACAACCAAAGAAAAAAGGCAGAATTTCGTGGTACTACACGCAGCCTTAGCCATCACCAGTTGCGTCACAGCTTAAAGAAAACTTTAGAATGTAAGTTTTGTGACATATATAAACACCACTACTACACATCCCCACAACCAAGCAGCAAGAGCAATAAACACCACCACACATTCCCACAACTAAGCAGCAAGAGCGAACACCTGTTGCTTCATAGCGAGAAAACTTTTAAATGTGAGTTTTGTGAGAAGAGATACTACGGGCCGACTGGCCTGAATATACACAGAAAAACACACACAGGAAGAAAAGTTTCGCTGTAACGTATGCGGCAAGATTTTAAGTAGTACACACAGCCTTCGCAATCACCAGTTGATCCATAGCGATAAAAGAGAGAAAACTTTTAAATGTGAGTTCTGTATTAAAAAATATTATTGGCCGAGTAGCCTGGTTAAACACAGAAAAACACACACACAGGAAGCAAAGTTTTGCTGTAACGTATGTGGCAAGATTTTAAGTAGTACAACATACCTTCGCCATCACCAGTTGCTTCATAGCGATAAAAGAGAGAAAACTTTTAAATGTGAGTTCTGTAGTAAAAAATATTATTGGCCGAGTAACCTGGTTAACCACATTCAGACACACATGGAAGTAAATCGCCATACAATCTAAGGAGGAGGATAAACTAAGAGTAAATGATGTGGAGGAGGAATCTATACTGTATTTTTTATTATTATTTATAACAGAAATGTATTTTTAGAGTAGTCAGTAAACTATGTAAACCAATAAAAATGTACCCTATACCATACCAACTTTTAATAACAAAATATCAAACTTTATTTTGTGGTGTCACACTAGGTAATAAGCTGCCTGTAATCAATAATCAAAAATACTTTTTTAAGGTCTTTCCATCTTTTTTAATGCATTATGCTAAAAGGATTATTATATGCTGAGATGAATTACCTAAGGGTAAACTACAACCTAAGAAAAAGGTGTGAACAACGTTTTTAAAATTTTAAGAGTATGAGACATAATGTATTTTTATTAATAGTATTTTTTTTATTTTTTTACAGATGGCGGCGACGGATGCAATAAAATAAGACTAACTGGCAAGAAGTTAGGTAGTGCATGCTGCCTTCCTGGCATTCACCAGTTGTGTCAATGCCACATGAAATGAAATTCATCATGGATTTCGACTCCTGTCCGAAGTAAATCATTATCCGGAAGAATAAATTCGCTGTTGCAATTCCAATTTGCTAATATTATGAAAGAATTGACGAGATTGAAGTTACTGCAGAAGATTTATATGAGAAAAACACACATATATGAAAAGTTTCGCTGTAACGTATGCGGCAAGATTTTAAGTAGTACACACAGCCTTCGCAATCACCTGTTGCTGCTCCATAGCGATGGAGAGAAAACTTTTAAATGTGAGTTTTGTGAGAAGAGATACTACGGGCCGACTGCCCTGAAAAACCATAGAAAAACACACACGCAGGAAGCAAAATTTCGCTGTAACGTATGTGGCAAGACTTTAAGTAGGTCAACATACCTTCGCGAACACCTGTTGCTTCATAGCGATAAAGGAGAGAAAACTTTTAAATGTGAGTTTTGCGAGAAAAAATACTACGGACCGACTGCCCTCAATAAACACAGAAAAACACACACAGAAGAAGCAAAATTTCGCTGTAACGTATGTGGCAAGATTTTAAGTAGTATAAGCAGCCTTCGCGAACACCTGTTGCTGCTCCATAGTGAGAAAAGAGAGAAAACTTTTAAATGTGAGTTTTGTGAGAAGAAATACTACAGGCCGACTGCCCTGAAAAAACATAGAAACACACACATACAGGAAGCAAAGTTTCGCTGTAACGTATGTGGCAAGATTTTAAGTAGCACACGCAGCCTTCGCCATCACCAGTTGCTCCATAGCGGAGAAAAATTAAAATGTGAGTTTTGTGAACAAGAATTTTATTGGCCGAGTTGCCTGGCTCGCCACAGATATAAACACCAGCAGATATCCCCATTTCTCTGTAATATATGTGGAAAGAATTTAAGTAGTGAAACATGCCTTCGTGAACACCTGTTGCTCCATAGCGATGAGAAAAGAGAGAAAACTTTTAAATGTGAATTTTGTGATAAGAAATATTATGGACTAAATCCCCTGAATAAACACAGAAAAATACACACACATGAAGCAAAGTTTCGCTGTAACGTATGTGGCAAGATTTTAGGTAGTACAAGCAGTCTTCGCCATCACCAGTTGCATCACAGCAGATCAAAGAAAACTTTTAAATGTGAGTTCTGTAATAAGAAATATTCTTGGCCGAGTGGCCTGATTTACCACAGAAAAACACACATATCCCCACCACAACCAGAGGACGAGGAGGATGACGACGACGACGAAGACGACGACGATAGTTGTAAGCTACCTGATGGAGTTGATGTAGTAAAGGAGGAATGGGAGGATGTAGATTTTCCTGATGTAGTAAAGGAAGAAGAGGGGGAATGGGAGAATTTGAGTTCCATGATCTACCCCGGAAGAAAATCGCCTAAAATCGAGGGTTTCCTGATGTGAGGAAGGAGGAATGGAATCACTTTTAATCACTAACAGAAATGTTTTAAAGTACTGGTAACAATATAACTATGTAAAACAACAATAAAAATGTACCCATATACTAATTTTTAATAACAAAATACCACTTTATTTTGTGGCTGGCTTGTCGCACGCACGCACTAGGTAAGGAAGGAGGAGAAGGAGGAGAAGGAGGATGATAATAATATGCTTGCATCGTATTCGGCAGCAGTCGTAAATTTGTAAAATTAGATCAAATAATTATATTAATATAAAAATTAATTTCGACTTTATTTTGTGGCTTGTCCCACTAGGTAATAATAAGCTGCCTGTAATCAATAAAAAAAAATGCTTTTTTAAATATCGTATTCAGTTTGACTTGTGTAGGTACGGGTGAACCACTGAAAAAGAGGGTGGTGAGTGAAGAAGGACCACACACAAACCACGGTTTTAAAATTTAAGTATTTTTATTTTTTTCCCGATTCAAAGAAAGTGGAGTAGAGTGTTAAGATTCTTTCTCTTTCTTACCTTCTTACCTTACAAGTAAAATCCACTTCCACCCACCCTTTCAGTCCACTGAAAACCTCAATGTGTGTGCGAGAGGGGGGCGGAGGAGGAGGAGGAAGTGTGAGAGTTGCTTGCTTAATAAAGACTTCTTACTCCATTCAACAGCCAGTAGTAGTCAGCTCCTTGAGTCCTCCGGTAACACACTTATCTACTCTGTGTGACATAGTTACTTACAAACTTATCTACTCTGTGTGACATAGTTACTTACAATTCAAACAAAAAAAAAACTTTTATGCAAGCACCAGTTGCAGTTGCAGCAGCAGGTTTCTTTTTGAGTATAGAAATAAACACCAGATATCCCCACCAAAGCTTCTCTGTATTAAACTACAACCTAAGGAGGAAGAGGTAGAATTACTAGATCTTGATGTGGAGGAGGAATGAGAGTTCGATGATGTGCCCCTGTCTAAATTAAATCTGCTACAACTCAAGGAGGAAGAGGAAGACAAGACACCATATTTGGCAGCAGTCATGTCATTATCCGGAAAAGTAAATACTCCACCACAATGTGTGTGTTTTTAAAAATTTAAGAGTATGAGACGCGAGTTAATGTATTTTTAATAATAGTATTTTTTTATTTTTTTACAGATGGTCACGGATGCAATAAAATAAGACTAGCTGGCAAGAAGTTAGGTAGTGCATGCTGCCTTTCTGGCATTAATCATGGATTTCGACCCCTGTCTGAAGTAAATATTATCCGGAAGTATAAATTCGCTGTGTATGGATGAATTGACGAGATTGAAGTTACTGCAGAAGATTTATATGAGAAAAACACTATATGAGGCAAAGTTTCGCTGTAACATATGCGGCAAGATTTTAAGTTGTACACGCAGCCTTCGCCATCACCAGTTGCGTCACAGCTCAAAGAAAACTTTAAAATGTGAATTCTGTGGCGATAAATTTTATTGGTCGAATAGCCTGGCTCGCCACAGATATAAACACCAGCAGCTATCCCCATTTCGCTGTAATATATGTGGAAAGAATTTAAGTAGTGAAACGTGCCTTCGTGAACACCTGTTGCTGCTCCATTGCGATGAGAAAAGAGAGAAAACTTTTAAATGTGAGTTTTGTAATAAGAAATATTCTTGGCCGAGTGGCCTGATTAACCACAGAAAAACACACATATCCCCACCACCACCACCAGAGGACGAGGAGGATGACGACAATTGCAAGCTACCTGATGGAGTTGATGTAGTAAAGGAGGAATGGAAGAATGTAGATTTTCCTGACGTAGTAAAGGAAGAAGAGGGGGAATGTGAGAATTTGAGTTCCATGATCTACCCCGGAAGTAAATCGCCTAAAATCGAGGGTTTCCTGATGTGAAGAAGGAGGAATGGAATCTTTACTGTATTTTTTATTTACTATTTAATCACTAACAGAAATGTATAAAAGTACTGGTAACAGTATAAACTATGTAAAACAACAATAAAAATGTACATATACTAATTTTTAATAACAAAATACCACTTTATTTTGTGGCTGGCTTGTCGCACGCACGCACTAGGTAAGGAAGGAGAAGAAGGAGGATGATAATAATAATCAAAAATACTTTTTTTATTGCATCGTATTCGGCAGTCGTTAATTTCCCCTAGCCAAGAAGGTCTTTGCCACTTATCGATTTTTTTTTTTGGGGGGGGGGGCCTCCTCATTGTAAAATTAGACCAAATAATTATATAATATAAAAATTAATTAGCATTAGTTACCAGATTTTAAATGCTAATGTCACTCTTTAATATTCATACACACATGATGTAAAAAGCCTAAGAATTAAATTATTACGCAAGCAAAAGGAAAAACAGCGGTTCACCCCTACCTGCATAAGTCAAACCCGGCGGCCAGTTTTGAACCTTTACTGGGAGTTATAGCGTTCCCTGATAGCTTCTTGAACCGTAGGACACTTCTGATGGTGAAAAGCATGATGCTGATACTGTGGTGACAGAAGATCACACTTTATTTAATCTATTAACTTACTTATTTCTCTTTTCAGTGCGTATAATATAGTAATTCCAGGCCAGGGCAAAGCTCCTATCAAGACGGACATACAGGTAGAGTTACCAGAAGATTGTTATGGCAGGGTGGCACCACGATCTGGTCTTTCCTGGAAGAATCACATTGATATTGGAGGTTAATGTTTTTTGGGAAATTGGCTTGGTTGAACTCTGTTATGGCCAGTGCCTTTAATGTCTCAGTCTCAAAGAGGTTTAGGTATTCTTAATCTCACTTTCTTATGTTAAAAACTCTTTGAGGTTAGATACACGACGTGAAGGAATATTGTGTTTATTGAAGGCTACCCTTTCAGCCGGTGTTATTGACCGAGACTACCGGGGAAATGTTGGCGTTGTTCTCTTCAACCACGCCAAGACTGATTTTGAAGTAAAGAAGGGTTGACCGAGTAGCTCAGCTCATATGTGAAAAAATAGTGTATCCAGAGGTTTGTGTCTTTTTCTCTTAGCCAGCCCAATATTTCTTACAGTAACAGTAACAAAAACATACTGTACTGGTCAACATTAATGGTGAAACACGTAAATTGCATTAATTTTTATGGAGACAATTCCTCATTATGAAATGTTTGATAGGGACTAAGTATTTGAAAAAAAAAAAGTTTATAAATTGTATTAGGGACGAAAAGGTTTTACTTACTAACAACCAAGAAAATATACTGTGTTCTGTAGAGCTAAGGCCTAGACTTATGGGGTTGTCAAGCATGGAGCCAAGGTACTAATATTATCCATTTTTTCAGGAACTCGTAGACACAGAACGAGGTGCTGATGGTTTTGGATCAACTGGAAGAAATAAAAAATCCACCATCTAGAAAATTTTATGAAACACAGTCTAGAATTTCTCCCCAATTCTCATAGAGTTTTATGAAAATAAACACTACTCTCGTTGTTACAAATATAAAGTATAAAATTATTTAAAAAATAATAAATTTAATAAAAAATGTAAGTTATTTTTTCCCGATTATAGTCGTCGAGGAGGAGGAGGAGGAGGAGGAGGAGCAGCAGGAGCAGGAGGGAGAAGTTGCCGCCTAATAATAATTACTCACTCAACTTTAAGCCAGTAGTAGTCAGCTCCTTGAGCCCTCCGGTAACGTGTATAGTTACTTACAAGAAAAATGCACCGTCACAGCTCAAAGAAAACTTTAAAATGCGAGTTCTGTGACAATAAATTTTATTGGCCGAGTAGCCTGGTTCAACACAGAAAAACACACATATTCCCACCACCACCAGAGGCTCTGGAGGAGGACCAGAAGAATGCCAACGAGGAGGATGAGGAGGATAACTACGACGTAGAATTGCCTGAGGATAAACCACAACCGAATAAGAAGGAGGAGGAGCCTAACAAAGACAAAAAACAGTTTCTCTGTAACGTATGTGGCAAGAATTTAAGTTGTGCAAAAATCCTTCGCGAACATGAGTTGTGCCATAGCGATAAAAGAGAGAAAACTTTTAAATGTGAGTTTTGTGTCAAGGCATTTTATTGGCAGACTAACCTGACTCGACACAGAATTCAACACGAGATAAGCAAGTTTCCCTGTAACATGTGTGGCAAGAATTTAAGTAGTGCAACATTCCTTCGCGAACACCTGTTGCTGCTCCATAGTGACGAGAAAAGAAACAAAACTTTTAAATGTGAGTTTTGTGATAAGAAATATTATAGACTACGAACCCTGACTCGACACAGAATTAAACACGAGATAAGAGGCAGGTTTCTCTGTAACATATGTGGCAAGAATTTAAGTTGTGCAAAAATCCTTTGCGAACATGAGTTGTGCCATAGCGATAAAAGAAAGAAAACTTTTAAATGTGAGTTTTGTGTCAAGGCATTTTATTGGCAGACTAGCCTGACTCGACACAGAATTAAACACGAGACTCAACACGAAGAAATATTATAGACTACAAACCCTGAATAAACATAGAAAAATACACAGGAGGCAAAGTTTCACTGTAACGTATGTGGCAAGATTTTAAGTAGTACAAGCCACCTTCACCATCACCAGTTGCGTCACAGCTCAAAGAAAACTTTAAAATGTGAGTTTTGTAACAATAAATTTTATTGGCCGAGCACCCTGGTTCAATGGCCGAGTACCCTGGTTCAACACAGAAAAAAACATATTTCCCCACTACCACTATAAGGACGAGGAGGAGGAGGAGGAGGAGGAGGAGGTACCTACTTTACTGCCAGGTGAACAGGGACTAATGGGAGCTAGGAATTAAGTCCAAAAAACTTTCACCGGCCGGGGAATCGAACCCGGGACATCTCGCCGCTTGCGAGGCAAGAACAGTTCAGGCAAGAACAGTACTGCTTCTACCACAGATCCCCCGACGAAGACGGACGACGATAATTGATGATGAAGTAGAATTGCCTGAGGATAAACCACAAGGAGGAGAAAAAGGAGGAGGAAGAAGAGGAAATTAAATTACAACCTTAAGGAATTATTTGATGGATGGAATGGAAGGAATGTGAGTTTGATGGATGAGTTTACCCCTGAAGTAAATCGCTGCCTACAATCTGAGGAATGGGAGGATCTATCTGTACGTACTTTTTAATAACTCAAACAAAAATGTATCTTTAAGGATGGTAAAAATCATTAAACTATGTAAAACAATAAAAATGTACCCTACTTTTAATAAACGTTTATCTGAAAATGAAAAATCCCTAATTTTAAAATTGTACTATTACAGTTTTTTATTGTATTTTTGTGGATTGGAATAATAATCACAAGAATTTTAAAATTTATAATTTTCTCAAAATCCCTCAAATTTTTTGTAAAAAAAATAAAAGTAAGACTTATTACAATAATAAAGGTCAAATTTGTCTTCTTG